CCCAGTCACTGAATCAATCCACCTCATAGAGGGCCTTCCCCTCCTGTGCTGTCCCTCCACCCTACCAAGCATGATGTCCCTCTCCAAGGACCGGTCTCTCCTTACAACATGTCCAACGTATGTTAGACGGAGTCTCAGAATCCTTGCCTCCAAGGAGTCAGCCGGTTTAACCCTTTCCAGGATGAATCTGCTTGTTTTTCTAGCAGTCCATAGTACCCTCAATACTATTCTCCAGCACCACAGCTCAAAGCCATCAATTCTCCTTCTATCCTCCCTAGTCATTGTCCAACTCTCTGATGCATACCAAATGATTGCAAAGACCATGGCCTGCATCCCATTACTGATTATATATTCTGCCTCCTCAGCTAGCCTATCGGTTGTCTAAGGACCACAATGACTAAACTGAAACATAGTTCAAACATTACTTGATGACTTTACATTACTTGGTAATACATCTTATAACTTTTAAAGAGATGTTGTTTTCTTTTATTTTCCTTTCCTGTTAAAAAATATAGTTCTCTTGTTCTTTTTTTCAAGTTCACAATATTATTCATTTCTTGAACAGAGCAATACTTAAATATTTATTTAACTTTGAAAATAGGATTGGTTTAAAGGAAGTTAATGGTGTGTTTCTACTGGGGGAACAATAATATCTTGGACAAAAATGAAAAAGAAAAAATTTATTTTATTATCTTACTATAATTACTAAGTACAAAATAAGACTAGAGGTTAACTAACTTTTAAAATATTAATAATACACTATCATTTTCATTTCAGGACTATAAAAATTATAGTTTATTATTTTCATAACAATCTACAGTTACAACTTTAATCAATATGTTACTGCTACACAATAAAAGTCTTAATGGAAAAATATTACCAATTACTCCATTTAATAGGTTTTTTAAAGCACACTGAAACTGTTAATTTAAGTCTCTATTTTACTTGTTGTCAATATAAACTTCTTTTCCCACTACAGTAAAAATTAATAACCCTATTTTGCTGATGTTTTTGTTTTGTCTATAATATGCACTTTCTCCCACAACTCTGCATGTTCAAATCCTATATAATACATAAATTTTTTTCAAATGAGGAACTGAAAATAAATGATCCCTCATTCAACATCATAATATTTTACCTGTATTTCTCAATGGTCTACCAACTTTCACTTATCTGTCATTTCTATACAGAGCAATACAGAAGTATTTTAAAATTCAGTCTTGTGTTAACAGTACTATAATGATTTTAAGAACTTTTTTCTTCTGATTTAGCTAGCCTGAAAAACATAATGCATTTCCCTAACCCCAGCCTGAAAACTCCACATAAATCAGAAGTAGTCTTCTTATAGTACTCGATTCATCTAAACCATGAAATAGAAACTTTAAAGTCATACAATCATTGTACACAGCACGGGCTTCAAAAGTACATGTTGAACAACTGAGTGAAATGATTCATTCTGCCTGGAATACCTACCAAATTGGACTCATTGGGTGGTATATACTTCTCGGTTCCCATTCGCACAAGTCCATCATGGTACAAGAATATTTTTAGTGGATCACATGATGTTACCAGAATGTAAATTCTCAAATCAAACTTGTAACCTTCCATTAAAAAAGGTTTTTCAATGTACTCTTGGACAATCAAATGATCCTGAGATGGAAGTCTGTCACCATTCCTTATCAAAGAAATCCTACATTGAATGGAAAGATGAATACAGTATGAACGAACACGTACACATATGCATAAATATATATTCAATAGAAAAGTGCCAGAGCAAGAAACTTAACAAATCTATTCTCCACAAAACCAAAACACAAATTGACAAAAGCTATCAGAATCAACATTTTCAGAATTCTAGAGATCAATCAAAAGTTTATAATAATCAGGAAATATATAGTAAGAATTTTTTTAAAAAACAACAGCTAATCTACATAAAAGGGCTGTGTGACATTTTAATTTACTCTCACCCACTCTCCTCACTCCCGAGTTCATCAGTATCCTTAATAAAAATTGACATTGCTAATACAAGCAAGCCAGTACAGGGAGCTCTGGTGGCCTAGTGGCAAGAAGCTCTGCTGTAATCTCAAAGGCACATGGTTTAAATTCCACCAGCTGCTCTATGGGAGAAGGATGGGCAGTCTCCTCTTATGTGATTAACTACTTCTGAAAAGCCACCAAAGGGTCAGCTATTGGTCAGTGCAGACTGGTACATAACAACAGTATAGGTAACAATTTTGATGGAAACAGAATTTATGTCATTCTACAGGTTGCTTGTTTTGAAGGCTCCCTGGAGGACTTCAAAGCTCATATTCTCATTCTTGTCTGACTCACAGACTTTCCAAGTGCTAAGTAAGCCACCCAAGAATGTTGAAAGCATTTAAAGGCAAATGTATTAATTCCTGTTTTCTAGGGGGGAAATAACAGCCGGGACAAACAAAACTAGCTAACAAGACAAAGGCAAGCCTGAAGAATGAGAACTTTTTGAGAAAAAAAGCTTTGGAAATCTCTGACAGCCTTTGTAATCTAGAAGGGTACACCGCACGGGTGGAGAGTTGGAAATAGGCTCAAAAGATATGAGAAGGCTCAAAGTTCTCTCTTCTGGATGATCATCAGGTTGTGTTCAAACAGAAAATGAAAGCTAAAATACCACTGTCAAGTGAGGATTGCTGTAAACTATCTGAGGACAGAAGCACAACATACACAGACTACAAAGACCAAGAGATCGTCCGCTTGGTTTCAGAGATTTAAGGAACTACTTACTTAGTTATTACTATAGCACTGTTCTAGCACATTTCAGTGAAAACATATACCAACAGAAAAAGAAATACAAGGCTTTACAAAATGAGATTTAAAAGTACTTAAATAAAAACTAAAAATGACAACAAGCAGCATGAACAATAAATTCTTGGGAAGGATGAGACTGATTTCCATAGTTGCTATATTTTCATATTAAAAATTTAAAAATGATGAGGCATGCATTTGGAAGCATGACAAATAGAAATTCTTACTTAAGAGGTCTCGACATTGTACTTAGCTTAAGTATGCTCTAAGAGCTAATGAAAACCATGTGCAAAGAATTAAAGTCACTAAGAAGGATGTTAAGCTAAACAAAGAATAAAGCGATAGAGATTATTAAAAAATTAACCAAAGAGAAAATCTAGAGTTCAAAAGCAGAAAAACTTAAAATATAGAGAGGCTCAACAGAAGATTTTGACAGGTTAAAAAAGCATCCACAAACTTAAAGACAGATCAGCTGAAATTATTCTGAGTTTGTTGTTGTTAGTTGTCAGAGAATCCACTATGACTCAACTCATTGAGACCCTGTGAACAATGGATCTGAGCCTTGAGTTGTCTTGTGCCATCCTGAACACCTCTGACATGCTCAGGTTCACTAATATTGGCAGTGCTGTCAATCCATCTAAATGAGGGTCTTCCTCTCTTTGACTGATCTACCTTTCCAAGACTTTCGCCCTTTTACAAGGACTGGCCCCCCTTAACAATATGCCCAAAGTATGTGAGACAAAGTTTCACTATCCCTGCCTCCAAGGAGCACTATGGTTGCATCTTTTTTCAAGATATGTTTGTTCTTTTCACTATGGTTGCATCTTTTTTCAAGATATGTTTGTTCTTTTGGAAGTCCATAGGATACTCAGCACTCTCTTTCCATACCACTACTCAAAGGCATTAGTTCTTGTGTCATCTTTATTCATGGTCCAACTTTCAACTGCATATCAAATAATTAAAAATATTATAGTTTAAACCAGGTGTACTTCAGTCTTCAAACTGACTCTTCTGGACTTTGGACAATAGGCTTTCCTAATACAATATGTTGTATGTATGTGTGTGTTTCACTTTCCTTCACTGACATTATGTTTCATACATTCTCATAATTGTGTTTTATATAATTAATTACACAATATGCCTTGATTTCCTAGCTGCTGGTGCGAAGTATGTTAATTGTGTATCCAAGCAAGAAGAAATTATTGACATTTTCTGTCTCTTTTCCATCTATTACGATGTTGCCTAGAGACATGAAGATTTTTTTTATTTATTTCTTGGTATTGAGATGTAACCCAGAGTGAAGCCTAGTCTTTACAGCAAGTGTTTCAAATCTTGCTCACTTCCAGCAAGCAAGGCTGTGTCATTCGCATAATGCAAACTCTTGATAAGTCTTCCTCAAATCTTGATGTCACATTATTTTCCATATAGTCCAGTTTCTTGAATCATTTGTTCTATATCCAGATTGAATGTTGTCATTGTTGGTTGCCGTAGAGTCGAACAGACTCATAGTGTCTCTATGAACAAAAGGGCTGAAGCCTTTCTACAACTATCGTCATTTATCAAAGTTCTTAGTTCTTCCAGAGGCATGTTGTTTAGGAAGTGGATGCCACTCCTGCTTCCAAACTTGTCATAAATTGGGAGCTCTACCAAATACAGTCCATCATGGGTAACTGTTACAGCATTTGACACCCCAATGGCACAAGGTTCAGCATCACAGCAACTCCAGGTTACCTCCCTACAGCATATTGACAGAAGAATGCTGTGACTTTCAATTTTATAGAAGATAATTGACTAAGGAAATTCCATTAGCTTTCACACAGACTGTGATGAAGGACTAGTCTCCCTCTCTCTTCACAACAATCCATGATAAGCCAACACTTCCATTAGAAAAATGTTTTCATTATTTTAAAATGTTTAAAAATATGTAATATATAAAGCACCTACTTGAATAGGTATGGAGGAAAGACATAGCCCTGACGCACACCTTTCCTGATATTAAACTATGCAGTATTCTCTTACTCTGTTCAGACAATAGCTTCTTCATATGGGTATAGGTTGTCAAAGGTAAAACATTAAATGATCCAGAAAGCATCAAAATGAAATGAAAAGAATACACTGAGTTACTTATCAAAAAGCACTGGCAAAAAAAATTTTTAAAAAAGCATTGGCAACACAAAGCTATACTCTGACAAGAAAAAAAATGAAGGGAAATGAACAGACTAAAATATGAACAAGACACCATCAAGCAGACTGACATATATGCATAATCAGAGACCCAGAAGAGAAAGAGAATATTTGAGAAAACAATGGCCAAAAATCTCCCAATTAAATGGACACACCCAAGTGGCCCAATGAACTATAAGTAGGAAAACTCAGAGAGACCCACACTGAGATAGATTCTAATCCAAATGTTGAAAACAAAAAAAGAGAGAATCTTGAATAAGCAAGACAGAGTGAATTGTGATGTAGATTTATGGAAAAAGATTAATAGGTAATTTCTCATCAAGAAACATAGATGCAAAAAAGTAGAGCAATGGCATGTTAAAAATGCTGACTCGCAAAAGAACTTAGCAATAATTCTCTATTCAGCAAAACTAGTCTTCAAAAAGAAAAGTAAATTTAAATCACTCTGCAAAACTATATCACTAAGATATCATTCCTACAAGAAATTCTGAAAGCAGTCTTTCAGCATAAAATGTAAAAAAAACACCAGTGACTTAAATTCCCACCAAAAAATAAAGTGTATCAATAAAGACAACTAACATCAGGTTTATCAAAATGCATTAGAAACAGTCTATTGGGCTTCTGAGGAGGTAAATCTTTCAGCAGGAAACTGTTTCTCTAAGGAACAGGTGGTGGATTTGAATTGTTGACCTTTCAGTTAGAAGCCTGACAGGTTCTACACTACATCACTATGGCTTCTCCATAAAGTAACTACATCACTAAATATAAATAGTCAGTATTAATGTCTTTTGATTTATTTGTAACTCCTTGTTTTTTTCTATTATTTAAAAGACAAAAACATAAAACAGAATTATAATTCTATGCCAGTAAACACATAACTCGTAAAAATGTGCTAAAAATGTTCTCACTGAAGTCTCACAACTTAAAGTTTTAACTTTTGACTTTCCAAAGCCTATGGAATAAGATTTCTTTTAAATAAAAAAAAAGACAGGTTCATTAAATATTTCGCTTCATAATACCAATAATTACAAATCTATTTTATTATCATTTATGAGAAAATAAACATGAACAACTGCTCTCATTTAGAGTTTGTTTGAATATCCCAGGTAATATAAACCTACCCATGTCCCATTGCCCCGTTAGCTGGTTTTACTATAAATGTTTTCTGCTTCCGTTTTTTCTTCAACTCTTTTACATAATTCTGAAATTGAGTATATTCAGCAGGGAAAATCCATGTTCGAGGAACAAAGGTATAATCCAAGGGCCGAGACTTTATCATTCTGTAAATTAGAGATAATATGCAAAATAATTCTATTAGAAGAGTCTAAATTTCCTTTCTCTAACCTACTGACATTTCTCACAGAGATTTAAATTCTCTCTACTCCTCTTTGTAATTCAAGAAATGACTGTAAAGCACCTCCTGTATGATAGGTACTGTTCTAAACCCTGCAGATACATCAATTAAAAAAATAGGGCAAAAGTCTCTACTGTGCAATTTACACCTTACTAAAACAAATCTGTATCTGAGTATATAGTATTTGCTAGATATAGGGGATATTAAAAGAAATTAATATGGTCTCTGTTCATAGGATTTTACAGATTTTTACAGTAATTATGAAACAATGTAATAGTCAATAAAGAAAAATAAAGAACCAAGAGGAAGGAATAATGAGTTCTGACTCAGAAGTAGACGTACAGATTAGGAAAATCTAGGTTAGATGTCATTTATCTTACTTTTTTCAATACGATTTTGAGTCCTCTCAGTATTAACGTTACAGAGCAGTTTCTTAACTACTTTCCACTCCACTGGAATTTAGATTTTAACTATTTCTCTGAAAAAGCAACATAAGGCCTCTGAGGTAGTAGAGATTGTCTTTACATAAGCTACTCATACATTTAGAGCTTGGTTTAGATATAAAACATCTACTTTTTATTAATCTTAAAAGTTGACAATTTTGTAGATAAAAATAGAGATTATAAGAAAGGTTTTATAATATTATCTGTTATAGAAAATCTGATCATTTAAAAAAATTGTCTAAAGGCATAGAAATCATTCCTAAATGAGCAGATATTGTCCCTATTTGGGAGAGGTAAAAATGAAAATGGACCTATAATATGTAGTATACATAAGAGAAGGCCTAAATTCTGACTAAAGTATGGAACTTATACCTTCTAAAGCTGACAGTTCATATAATTACCATTTCTCATGTATTTATTCAAGAAAGCCCTGTAAGAAAACTATGATTCCACCACAAGAAAGCAAATAATTGTCAACTCAGTCTGTCAAATCTGATTAAGATAATTAACCAAATAATCAGAGTTTGAAATAGGTAAGTATTGCAAATTTAAAACTTACATTAAAAATCTAAAGAATACAAAAACAATACTAATATTTTTTACTCTTATTTTCAAAACCTTTAAATGTATTATTACTTATTCTTTTGATCGCAAATCAAATCAAGTTAACATTTTCATCCTATCAACATGTAGGGAAACCAGCCAAGAATACACTTATTCAGGATAAATATCGATGCATTTTGGTTATTACCACAAACTGATGTGAATACACCCCCTCTTCACTTATCAACATATCTAGGATCCAAAAACCAAATTACTGTGCAAAAACTGGCATTATGAAAAAAATGGACAATGACCACATCCTATAAAAAATGAAGGGTGACAACTATCATCACCTAACTGACAAATTACATCAACTTCTAACTGCCCAGACCAGGAGAACCACTGCCCATTCGAACTGACACAGAATTATCACCGTCACGGTCAAGATTTACTTCTTGGTGTTCATTACTGCCAAACACATAGCTAACGTGCAAATTACTCAGCTAGTCAAATACATTTACTATTGGAAATAATGCAAAATGTCCACTACTAGTAAAGAGTAAGAGGATGTTTATCTTCAGAAGAGAAATGTAGTTTCAGGAATTTGGAAATCTGGGTATTTGGGAAACTGAGATAATGCAACTCAAAATTCTCTCACAGGTTTACCAAGTTATGCTAAATAATTAATTCATTAACTATGTCTTTCTCTCACTAGTGATAATTTTTCATTAATAGAAAACTATTTTTCTTAAAGAGAAAATACTTTTTCCTTAAAAATATTTGAAGGATTCTATAGAATAAGAAATTACCTATTAGTGAGCACCTTCATCCTCTCTCAACCATATATGGATATACATGCATATCTGTCTTCTATAAAGCAACCAGAATGATTTTTTGGAAAATGCAGATCTGGTCACCTTACTCCTATCTGCACAATCTTCTAAACCACAAATGTAAGCATCATCTAAGAAGACTTAAAGTTTTCTTTAAATTCTATCTTCTTATCTTCTTTCAGATTCCTCATTCTTTCTCTCTTTTTGGTTTAAATGTTGACTAATTAAATGAATTAGGAAGTGCTGGTGGCTTAGTGCTAAGGAGTTATGCTGCCAATTCAAAGGAGCACAGTTCAAATGAACCATCTGCTCATGAGAGAAAGATGAGTTATCTCTTCTCATGTAATTTACCACCTCTAAATATCTGCTGGAGGGTTAGCTATGAATTGGGTTCCACTCAACGGCACATAATAACTAATGAATTAATAAAAATATCAATTAAGCATAATAGCATGGGAAACACACTTCAGTTTTGCATGTCTCTCCAGGATCTTATTGAGCCTCTCAAAATCCTATAGAACAATGCAATTCCAAATACAGTGGTTAATTTCCTCTATATTTTCCCCTATTGTTGTTGCTATTCTCTTTTCAAAGAACATACTTCCATACAACTTTCAACGTCCATCATATCATACCCTAACTTGCCTTCCTTCTCATCACGAAGATGACTTCTCTCACCTTCTTTGTTATCACCATACATGGACCTTACCTTTAATGTGGCACTATCAAATCACATTCTGAGTATTTGTTTTTCTCCCGTCTAGCCTGTGAAGTTTAGGCAGGGAGAAGGCCTTATTTATCTGTACACTTGATAGAAGGCTTAGACATGTAAAAATATGTGTTTAATGAGTAGAAAATATATTATAAACTTTCAAATGGAAGCATAATCACATTTCCACATGTACAGAAGTTTACTAAGATTCTCTGTAAGAGTTAAATTATTAAAAATTCTCTGTATTTACTATTCAGCTTTCTTTTTAAAAAAATGTAACCATCAGAAGCATAAAAAGAATTTTACAGTTCACTTGGTAAAATACTTGTCAACAGTTTTGTTAACAATGTACCCATGAAAGCATCTTCTTACATCAGTGTAAAGACTGATCTCAAAGAAAATATATGATATACCTCCCTGTGTGAGTATGCATATGAACATGTCTATGCACATGTGTGCATACACACACAAAAACGTGTAATGTTGGCATGCAGAGTTGTTCAATAACCAGTATGAACACACATCATACAAAGCAAAAAAGTAAATTTTAATGGAAGATAAATGTATCTTAAAGGCCTTACAAAGGTGATCTCTTTCTTATATTTAAGAGTAAAACTTCTGGATAAAGGGGCAGCAAGTTGCAGTAAAAAGAGCTCTGTGATTCTGAAGACAGGTGACTCTGCTCCATCTCTGCTATTTATTCCCTTGGCTTTACATCAGTTATTAATTTATGATCCTCAGTTATCTCCTCTGCAAAAGGGAGCCACTGGACTCAAGGATATTTTAAAAATTTTCTATCATTAAGGTTCTATAACTGTCAACCAAACATCATGTCAAATTAATGTAACTTTGTGAAATATAGCAATATATTATCTATAATGTAAATGTTCACCAGGTCTTCCCTATTACACGAAAATGAAGATTACTTGGTCATATTTCTTGCTAAGAAATCCTTCCTACAGATCTCCCCCATTCCTGGAAAATGGTTGATTCTCTGGAAAATAAAAAAAGGTAAAGTCAATACTTTTATTAATATAATAAATATATTAAAATACAGTTACATTTTCCTTTTCTATTTTAATAAAGTAATTACTGATATAAAATATTTTAAAGTAAATAACCTACAAATGAATTTGTTGAATTAAAAAATCTATAGTAATCAGAGAATAAAAAGCAAAATTTTAATCAGAAAAAAATATGTATACATAGATATCAAGGTTGCAATTATCTTTAATGTGTGTTAAATCATGTTTCATATTATGGCTGGTATTCCAGAAAATCTGTTGTCAGAGACTCCTCCAGAGTACTGAAGAGCAAGGATGTCAGTCTAGAGATTAAGGCACACCTGATCCAGGCCATGGTCTTTGCAGTTATGTGCTATACATCAGAGAGCTGGACAGTGACCAAGGATGATAGAAGAATTGATGGCTTTGAGTTGTGGTTCTGGAGAAGAATACTGAACATACCATGGACTGTCAGGAGAAATTACGATTCTGTCCTGGAAAAGGTGAAACCAAGCAACTCCTAGGAGGCTAGGATTTTTGAGACTCCATCTCACATAATTTGGGCATGTAGCCAAGAGGGCTACTTTGGAGGACACCAGGCCTGGAAGGGTTGAGGGATAATACAGGAAAGAAGACCCTGGATGAGATGGATTGACACAATAATTGAGGTAAGGTGGTAGATGGGTCAGAGACAGTGAGATAGGCTCAGAATAGAGCAGGGTTCAGAGCTACTGTGCATAGGGTCATTATGAGCCACAGTTGACTCGATGGCACATAACAACAACATTCCAGATTTGTTATATTCAGACATATAGAAACTGTACATAAATGGTGGTGTTGATGTTGTGTACCATAAAGTCGAACTGACCCGCAACTGAACCTCTGGCAGGTTTTCAGAGGCAGTTAATCGCTTGGGAGGAAACTGCCCATCCTTCTCCCACAGAGCAACTGGTGGCATTGAACCATGTGCCTTCGGGATTGCAGTGCAGTCTCTTGCCATTAGGCCACAAGTGTAGAAAAACTTTTCTTTTATCCCAGTTTTCAACTTTGTATTACCCCCTATACACTTAGAGAAACTATTAAAAATGTGATTGCTCTAAAAATTCCTTGTATTTGGATTTTTACTTTTATGTATCTTCTCTTCTAAATACATTTGAAATAAACCAAAACACCAAATATGTTGTCATCAAGTTTACTCCCACTCATAGCAACTCTATAAAGCAGAGTAGAACTTTCTCATTGGATTTAATCTTTCCAGAAACACTGTCATATCTTTCTCCAGTCAGTTATCTAGTGAGTTCAACCCACTGACCTTTTGATTAGCAGCAGATAAAGTTTGTATTATATTCTAAAATTAAACTAATAAAGCCATATTTTATTTTGGGATGTGTGTATAAACTAATCCTAACCCTAGCACGTGTGTGTGTGTGTGTGTGTGTGTGTGTGTGTGTAAATACACATATATGTATTCTTTGTAATATATTTATATCTGACATATACATAAATCTCAACTGTCTTATCAATCCATGTAATGTAGTGGTAAGAAGCTGTACTGCAAATGCAAGCCCAAAGGCACATAGTTCTAATCCACCAGCACCTCCTCAGAAGAATGGACAATCTCCTTACTTGTGATTTATTGCCTCTGAAAACTTGCTGGTGGGTTGGCTATGGGTCAGTTCCAACTCGATAGTACACAACAACAATAATAGCTTTAAAAGCAACTCAAAGCATCAGATCAGGAAGTATCTCTCACAATTCAAGCTTAAAGACAGAAAGAGGTTAATTTAAAAAAAAAAAGAAGAAGCAGCAATTGATTGGAAGGAACTGGAGAGCATTATGCTGAATGAACAAATTCAGTCTCATAAGGACAAATACTGTATAAAACTATTATTGTAAAATGAGGATGAAACCCAAGTCGGGGGGAGTGCTGGTGGAAGCAAAGGGGTGAGGATAGGCGGGGAGAGGGGTTAATCATAGGATCACACAATTTGACAGGGTCATGGTGAAGGAAATGGGAAAGAGCTGGTATGAAAAACAGTATATTCTAAATTTGTAAATAAACCAGTATAATTTTTTTTAAATTGAACTTAATGGAAAGTCAATACAAATGGATAGGAATAGAAAAGGTAAATCAGGTGAGACATAACTGAAAATTAGTATGTCAACAGATTAAGAACCCTAAAACAAATTATGCTGGAATTCATATAGCTTTCCTCATAAACTATAATCCATCATCATTAATTTCTCACCTGGTAATTCTGCAGCTCTGAAATCTTTTCCTGCTGAACTGCAGCATCACACCATATAAGGTTACTTGTTTCATCCTCATCTGGAGTTTTCAAAAATCCCATTTCATCTATTACTAATCGAACTGCAAGTAAACAGTTAAAATATTTCTGAGATACATGCATTGGGATGTCTTTTGGACATATAAATATTTCATTTATGTTATTTTACTTGCTAAATATTTATGAGTTTATAGTTAGCATTTTTAGTTAAACTTGGCTTACCAAGGGCCCAATTAGACTCAACAGTATCTGAGAACTATTTTTAGATTATACACAAAACTCTCAGTTTCAGTCATCTGAGATTTAACAGGTACAGAAAACTGCCAACAGGCTTGGTGATTATTTATGGCACAATGAACACACACACAGTAGAAACAACAGTTCTATTCAGGAACATTTACACTTACAGGGTTGTCGTCGTTGTTGTTTTTGGTTGTGTGTGTGTGTGTGTGTGTGTGTGTGTGTGTGTGTGTGTGACCTTGTGCTAGGTAAAAATGGGCAAACTTAAAAATAGTCCATTGGTCATCAGACTTACCTATATCTTTCAACTTGCTAGTTCAAATTATATTTTAGCATTTAAACTCAAGTCACCTGTATTAACTCAGGATATTAAATAATGAAGCAGAATTCACACAAAATATCTGGATGCAATCATGCTCTTTGCTCCCACACCTATAATCCTGCATGGTCAGGGGAAAGCTTCTTTTTAGTTCAAGCTATGTATGTGCTCTTCTAGAGCTACCTTTAATAATACTGAAATTTTTCTGCAAATAAATTCCAATTTTAGAATAATGAAAATCAAAATACTTAGGATTACTATAAAGGCAAGGGGTTTGAATCCACCAGCTGCTCTGCATGAGACAGATGGACAATGTCTTCCAGAGGGATTTACTGTCTCAAAATACCCACTGAAAGGTCAGCGATGGGGTAGTTCACACTCAACAAAACCAGTAACAACAGAATTAGAATCTTAAAGACGAATGTATCTATATAACAACGTTTCAGCATTTTCTTTTTAAATGTTTTGTGGTTACTGGTACTTTTTATATAACAGGAAATTTTTTTAAAATGACAGGGTTTTTGTAAAAAAAAAAGATTATTGAAATCTTCCCTCAAGTATGAAACAGCTGACTAGACAGATCTTAGCCTCTTATCCTAGAGGCATTTGCATCTTTTTTGGCTGAAGAGGGATTTTTTATTGAATAGTCCCTGAGAAACATCTACCACATCCAAGAAAGACAGAAGGTGCACAAATTGCCCACTCCTTACTCAACAAGATAATGAGGGAAAATGACAAGACCAGATTCATTCAGCTCCTGTAATGTGAATGATTCCACTTTAAATCCTTTGATGAAGATCTATTGGAATGCAAGTCTGCCCAGCCACCAAGGTAATGCCAACTTCAATAATATATATTAAAATTGCCAGAGCTCTGGTGCCCCAGTTGGAAGGTGCAATACTGCTAACCCAAAGGCAAGGAGTTTGAACCCACCAGCTGCCCTGTAGGGGGAAAATGGGCAATCTCCTCCCATGCCACTTACTGTCTCTGAAAACCCAGTAGAGACAGTCATTTATGGGTCAGTGGCAACTTGATAGTATATATCAACACAAGTATGAAAGAGGACCATGGTCAGGGTAGACCTGTTGGAGGAGGAAACTGCTGGACTGAAGTTGCTGTCATGACAGGTTTGACAGAATCTATGATGATTTTGGGGGCCCAAATTACAATGTACAATACAAAGACTGGACAGAGGCTATTGTATTCTCATCTGCCATAGATGAGCATATAGTTTTCACATCCTGAGGGCTGAGATGATGCAGGGACACAAAGGGCTCATATACAAAGCAAGGCCAGTAGTGAGTGGCACAGCCTGAAAGACATACTCAGTGTTTAACAAGCAGAGAACCATAAAGACAATGACAGAGAAGGAACACAAAAGCAGATTTGGTCCATGGTCCATTAAACACACTGCCTAAAACTCTCAAAAATAAATGTGGCGACTGATGAATAACATGGAACTCCTGCAGCTATGGAGGGGGTGGCAAACTGAGCTACCAGAATTTGGATATTAATGTACCACAAGGGAGTGAAAGGTTGGAACATTTAATTTGTATAAAAATAGAAGAAAAACTCCACTCCCTGTAGATCTATAAATGTGTAAGGTTAAATCCTATATAAACGTACTTTATTGTAAGATTAAAATTTTAAGAACTGGACCTAAAATTGAACTTAAAGGGAAAAAATACAATAAAAGAAATTAAACTGTCATTTTCTTTAGCAATTTAGTCTTTCATTGAAATTTTATAAATCAATTCTCTCTTTGGGAGGGAGATGTCCAAAGCTTATAGTCCAGATTAATAACAGAATACAGTCAAGACAGCCACCAAAATGTGCACGCAGGCACCTCAGCCTTGAGGCTTTTGGCCAGTGTCCCCATGTTCTCAGTCCTGCCAACATTGGCTCTCTCTCTTGAAGGTCCCATATCTCACATCAGGTCTCCATTTCAACCATAGGTGTTGCTTTCATAGGTGTAGCTGGAGCAAAAATAGTGTCCTACATTCTCTTGCTTTTTTTATTTTATAGTGGTTTGCAAAGTTTGCATACACTGTTTCACACTATCCTCTCACATTGTGTTTCATTCTCATTCACTGTATTTTTATAAAAGTAATCACCATTGAACTATGTCCACCATTACTCCATCTTTCCAGATTTCTTCCTGATCTTTTGTATTTCCTTTACCCCCTTCCTCCATCTGCCAAATTTATGTGCAATCCTAAGATTCTTCCCACCGCCTGCCCTTTCTCATGCCTCTGTTCCCTCTCCTTTTCCCGTTAAAACCCATATATATTTTACTAATTACCCTTCTATTTTTAGAATAATAGTCTTATGCTATATTTATTCTCATGAGACTAAGTTCACTCAGTGTAACACTCTCCAGTCTCTCCCAAGTTATGTAGAAATTTTCTAAATTTTGGCTCCTGTTATCCCTATTTTTCACGATCATTTTCACCACTGCTTAAGACAGTAATCTTTTTTACATGCCAGTTTCAAATAAAAGGTTTAGAGTTAAAGCCTCAATCTATCCTATTAAATATTGGTCTTTTTATGACACTTTTTATTTCTTTTTTTTTCCTATAATTATATTTTATTAATTTTCATAAACATTTACAGAGATTTTGGGCTTCCACTCATTCATTGTTGCACTATTCTCTCTACCCTCCTCCCAGTTTGTTCTTGTCCAAATGCCACAGTGCTTGTCAAAGCCAGTTCTGATTAATCTTCTTTGTCAGTGTATCCTTTGCCATTCCCTATCACTCCTCCCTGAGAGAGACTTCACCCTGAGTCATAAGGAAAAGGGCACGGCGTATTCTCTTAGCTACTTCCTGCTGAAAAGGGACGCTGTGGGTTTTATTTCTATCAAATAAATTCTCTACTGGTTATGAAAAAAAAAAGGATAAACTGTGGAATTTACCTTTCAATATGGCTTCCCTAGCCATTTTAATGTGGATGACTGATGATGTAGATGGGTGGGACTATGTGAATGGGCATGTTGGCCTACCCACAAGCGTACTGGCCAGTCTCAGCAATCTACAAGGGGTGGCTAGTCTTACCCAATAAATTGAATAGCTCTAGCCACAGAGACAGATTTTCCCCCACCAGTGAAGAGAAAAGAGACCTCCTGCCACCACCAGCAAAAATACTTTACCACCAGGAAAAGAGCAGAATGGCTGAAATAAAGACTTGATGTAAAATGGGGGGGTGGGGGGAGGGGTAAGGGCTAGGGTAGCCAACATTGGCAGGACTGAGAACTTTGTTGGACAATTGATGGGAGGAGATCCAATATTGGCAGAACTGAGAACTTTGCTGGACAATCAGCAGGGAGAATCAATTTGGAAGGACTGAGAACTTGGGAACACCATGAGGCTCAGGGCTGAGGTCCCTGCATGCACATTTTACAAGCTATCTTGACTGTATTCAATTATTAATTTAGATTGTAACGTTTTTAATTCTCCAATAGGATTCTGTGTGTCCTGTGGACTATCTCATCAGATTACAGACCCAGCAAAGCAGTAAAATTGATGTTAAAGGAGTAGAAACAAGTATGGGAATAGGATCGGGGGTGGAGGAGAGGGTATGTCTGACTTGATGGGAATTGATTTGGTGTTACTGATTCTGTTGATGGGGATAGTTCCCTTTTGTGACACTGATAAAGGTCAGATATGGCTATCCTCAAGTGGCCTTTGTCTTTTTGTCATAAACACACCAATCATTATCCTTATTTCTATCTACATATTTTAGTACCCTATACTCTTGTACTAGAAATTATAAAAAAATGCATCCCTCATAATGTGTTCATATACTTTCCCCTCATTACCCATAGTTTTAAGAGTCATAAAGATGTAAAATCTTGTAAAACATGTCTAAATTTCAGAAACAGAAAAGATCATAATGTTCTTTATTTTAAATCTCCTTTATTTAGGCATCAGAATTTAGTAAAAACAAAACAGAATTTAGAATCAAAGTCAGATTTAAGTTCTGCTTTTGCCAAATGTATAGCCTCTTTTTAAGGTACTACCTCTCACTAAACTTCAATTTCTTCAACTGTTTTAAGACTAAAACCTTTGGTAATTGGTTTGTGATAAGAAGCATTAAGAATAATAGAAAAATATTATTTCCCAATGTATATAAATATAAAATTTCTAACTATGAAGATATGATTTTGCTATTCCACAATTTGCCTCCATGAAGAACTATAAGAGAAATTTCTCTTTCATACTTAGGATAGAATAAGTCACATTTCCTTTGAAAAAATATTGTTCCATCCTCCGACAACTGTTAAGTTTATCCTTCACTATGTTCCATCCTCCGACAACTGTTAAGTTTATCCTTCACTGTGATTCAATAGTTACTTTGGTGATAAGGAAGCTTTGAGCTAAATTCATACACGTCCCGAAAAATAGTGGGTTTCATTGAGGTGTTTCACCAACAACCTGTGTTATGCAAATGACACAATGTTAATTGTGTGGAGTTAAATATGAGGAGGACTTGCAGTACTTGCTGCAGATTAGAGACTTCAGCTTTCAATATGAATTCTTTCTCAACATCAAGAAAACAGTATTTTCACCACTGAAGTACTAACAACTAATAATGACGTTGTTGTTAGGTGCTGTAGAGCCAAATACGACTAATAGTGACACTATGAACAAGAGGCTGTTGTACAAACAGAGCAGGGGAAAATCAAGAGAACAGTATAAACCAGAGCATGGTTTAAAATCAAGAAAGTTGCATGTCAAGATTGGATTTCCACCCCCACCCCCCAGGCCTATTAACCTGTACACTGAGCTAATTAATCAAGAAGCTAATCTCTAACAAGAAGAATGTGGCATTAGGATTGGAGAAAGACTCATTAACCTGTGTTATGCAGATAACACAACCTTGCTTTTTTAAAGTGAGGAGGGCTTGAAGTGCTTATTGCAGAATATCAACTATCTGTCTTCAGTATGGATTACACCTCAATACCAAGAAAACAAAAATTCTTTCCAATGGACTAATAGTTTGGCATTATGATAGATGGAGAAATGACTGAAATTGTTAAGTACTTCACCTTACTTGAATCCACAATTAACACCCTTGGAATCCTCACTCAGTTCAGTAGATATATTGCATTTGGAAAGTCTGCAGTCAGAGACCTCTCCAAATTACTGATGAGCAATGATGTCAGTTTGAGGACTAAGGTGCTCCTGATTTCGTTCCTAGTTCTTTCAATCATCTGCTATGCGTCTAAGAGCTAGACAAAGAATAAAGATGACAGAAGAAGAATTTGTGCCTTTGAGTTGTGGTGCTAGAGAAGAATACTGAATATCCCATGGATAAGATCAGCAAAAGAAAGGAAGACCCTCAACCAGATGAACTGACACAGTGACTACAGAAATGGACTCAAATACCTCAGAAATTATGAAGATGGCCTAAGATAAAAGAGGGTTCATATTTATTATTCACAGGACCTGTTATAAGGATCTAAACAAGAACAATAACATTAGGAATAAAAGTAACACCAGGGCTTAATAGCAAATGTCCTGACCCTATCTTTCCATTTTGTGATACAATCAGCCAAAGCTCTGTATTTAAATTTCAAGAGTAAGCTGTTACATTTCACTAGATGAAGTAAGATGTGCCTCCTTCAGATACATCTAACTTTCTCTCTCATTAATATTTAGCTCTGTATTCTCCCAATAGTCCCCATTGTTGTTGTGGAACAGATCCATAGCTGACCCTCCAGGCAGGTTTCAAAGGCAGTAATCACACAGGAGGAGAATGCCCATCCTTCTCCCACGAGGCAGCTAGTGAATTCAAATCACTTGCCTACAGGACGCAGTACAGATTCTTAACACTAGACCACCAAGCTCCCATATGCAGCTCCAAACTCAGTAGTAAACCATGAAATGTACTAACTAAACAGAATTGATCAGAAAGGGACAACCCCAATCCTTTTAAAAACCACTGGAGAAATGAAAGAGGGAGCTACATTTCACATCACTTTTTGAATCAAGATTAAAACACACCACAACCTTAAAAGTAAAAAGCAAGTGGGAAAATGTTAGCATGAGCCATCAATCACTTTTTGTTAATCTTTCACTGCAGATAAACCTTGATAAATGTTGCAGACAAATCCTGAGCCTTTCATACCTTCTCACTCTCCTACACCAATTTGCCCACAGCTTTGTCCTTTGAACACTTTTTAAAATAAAATTTTAATACAGGGAGAGCTCAACTAGTTGCTGCTGATATTTGGTGAATTAATTACTCTAGGTGAAAAAGAAAAAAATTTAAAAAATAAATTTAAAAAAATTACTCTAAGTAGAGACTACACTTTCAAATATCAAGATGGGGGAGAAATTAATGGCTTAGGGATTTATATCATTCCTTAGCACTTTCCCTAATTTTCTGTACTTTCTTTTTTTTATTTTGGAACTTCTATTCACCTTGTATTTAATACACTCATTCCCATATATTGTTTCTTACAAAATTAATCACCTTGATCTATGCCCACTATTATCCCATGTATTCCGTTTCCCACTGGATCTTTCCTAATTCCTTCACCCTCTCCCTTCACTCACCAAAGTCTACATCCCTGTGATTGCCCAGACCCCTGCCTCCTCCTCTTCCTCTTTGAACATTTATATACATTTTATTATCATTCTGTTTTTACATTGATCATCTTATACAATATTTGTTATTATGAGACTAAGTTCATTCAGCATAATGCCTTTTTAATGAAAACGAGGTGGAAGGTCATTTGAGTACTTATGGTATTTGTAACGCATTTTGCAAGGTTTGGTGAAAATATCTTCACTTGATTCATTTTAGCCATAACTGGGGGGGAGAGGGGAAGAAGGAATGCATTAGAATAATATCATTTTCCTAAGGACATCTACAGGTGTAATTTACAGATAAAGTAACTAGATAGAGAAGCTGTGATATATTCACACACTGCATTGAAACACAAGGAACTCATGCAATATTATTCAAAATGGGTGACCCTGGAGGACATTATGCTGAGTGAAATATCTCAGTCACAAAAAAAAACAAATATTACATAGTGCCACTATTGTAGAATGAAGCTGACATCAGGGTGGGGGTAAGACTGAGAAAAACTGGATAAATTATGTTTACTTCATTGATGCCGCTGAGGGAGAAAATAGTTTAAAAGTAATATATTTTAGGGCATTATGATTATCATAAGAGTCCGGAATGAGGGTTGCAGAGTGGAATATACTTGGGGTGGGGATGGGGGTGGGGGTTTGCGGGGGGATTGTGTACCAATGAAGAAGTTTTTCTTTTGCTTTTCAAGGAGAGGAGCGTACTGGGGGTGGGGGTGGGTGGATGGGGAGAAAAGTGCAACAATGAATGAACGGAAGTCCAAAATCTCTGTAGAAGTTCCTTGAAATTAATTAAAAAAAAAAGTAACTGGTTCTTCATGTTCATGTTCTAAAAATATTAAACAAAACCATATACATTTTTCTAAACAACTAATAGCAGAACCTTTTTAACTTGCAATGATCAGCTATTTCATTTAAGAGGAATTTTCAAAGTCTATCCCATAAAGAAAATGATCTCTAAATTTTTACATTGTTTTCAACATCAGACTATTTTTTCCCCACAGTTATGAAACTGTCAGGATTCCAAGGAGACTTACCAATTTCAAACTTTGTCCCAGCAACATTTGCTGTAATGATTCCCTTCTTTTTCTTTTTTCTGGCTTTCCTTTTTATTGTACTTTCATAAGGCAATTCGGTATCCAGATCCAGGGGAGAGGATCCCTGAATAACTTCAAAAGAAATGGGAAATAATAAAATTTCCCTCAAACAAGGTAAAATTATAATTCTAAAAGTTCCAGTTATTTTAAAGGCTAAAAAATTGGCATAATGTTTATAGTAATATCTGTAATTAGCAACATATTAAGTTGAACAGCTTACCTCCTTCTTGAGGCAGAGATGGCATTATTGCCTATGCTGATGAACAAGTAGTCCGTGCCGGTGTACTAGTTCTCAGGAAATCTGGAAGGCCTGCATGGGTCTAAGTAGGATACGGCCCCAAATCGCTACAAGTTCCTATCATATTATCTGAGTGGAATCCTCCAATTTCAGGGCACCTGTCGGGATTTTAAAAGAAAGATTTTAAAACAACACAATCGTTACAAAATATTTTTATATGTCAATAGTATTCTTTTTAAAAGTCACGTAATGAACTGCCAAGCAAACAAACTGATCTGTCTTGGAGAGGGTGAAACCAAGTTTCTCCTTGGAAGCTAGGATTTTGAAGCTCCATCTCATATACTTTGGGCACGTGGCCAGGAGAGACTGGTCCTTGTAGAAGTATATCATTCTTAGAAAGGTCGAGGGACAGCGCAGGAGAGGAAGACCTGGATGAGATGGATTGATACAGGAACTGGAGCAATGGGGGCTGGGTGTCAGAATTAGTAAGACTGGCTCAGGACAGGACAGGGTTCAAAGCTGCTGTACAGAGGGTCACTATGGGTCGCAGGCAACTTGACAGCACATAACAATACCAAAGGAAAAAGCTAATGTTCACAGTCAACAAATGTTAATTAGTTGAGTATTTAAACTATATGCAAAATACTAAGCCATGGTTCCCTATCCTGAAAAAAAAATATACATTCAAGTAGAGGTTTCCTTCAAATTTACATAGAATAAGCAACATATCATACACAACAAGAATAACATTCACTACCATTTATTTAACAATTAACATCTTAAACATTTATATTTTATCATTTAATTCTTTCAACTTTTACAATTTGACCCTATAAATAACTAACTAGTTTGGAAAGGATAAATAATTCTGTCTTACTAATTAAATGCTAAAGTAAAAAATACAATGAATATCCTTCTGGTGCTAATTTCAGGAACCTTTGAAGGACCTTTACACAACCTCCAATCCAATGCTTAACATAGAACTACAGCACTGTTATTAAAATAGGATATTGAAAGAAGAGTCTAGGAACAGGGGACATGCTAAAGGAGAACAGCGGAAAATGATCTTTTTTTCCCTGTAGTAGGAGTTGGGGAATTACTTAAAAAGGTAGATCATATTTTTATTTTTCCCTTTAAAAATGTGAGCAATTTTAAAGGACAGAAAATAGGAGTTATTACTCTGATGATCCTGTTTGGGCATTTAGATGAACATAATAAATGCTTTTAAGTGAATGAACTCATTCCATTTGGCTATACTTAACTGTAGCCTACATTTATGTTTTCATTGTATATGCAGGAACATTTTCATGTTTGCACAAACTATTCCATTGATTGCAGCAATTTTATAATTTCTCCTACCCTACTGGAGGAATGTTTCCATTCCTATATTTCTGTATGTAATAAAAGCTATTTTAATTTTTAAAGCCTTTACCTTTGTAAATACCAGAAATTTCACTGACATAAAATGTTCCTCTCATATACATTATCCCAATATTCATTGTTGTTGTTGTTGCTGTTAAGTGCCGTCGAGTTGCAGGCGACTCATAGCGACCCTATGAAGGAGAGTCCTCGATGCTTGGGTGCCTTTCATCCTCTCTCCAGGTTCATAGGGTTTCCGGAGGCAAGCTATTACGGAAATGGATGCCACTCCTTCCAAGCTTCAATATTCATTATTAATGATAAAATTCACTATTTAAGTAATATTAGTATTTGTTCTCTGATATAGTTTAATAGAATAATTCTCTAAGATAATTCAGTATTAAAACTAGGAAAACAGTATATATTGCAGGTCAGCTGTGGTCAGGCACTGTGTTCTTGTTGTTATGTACCATCAAGTTGGGGAACCTCCAGCAAGTTTTCAGAGGCCTTCAATCACATGGAAGGAGACTGCTCATCTTTCTCCCACATAGCAGCTGGTGGATCTGAACTGAGTACCTTTGGGTTTGGTAGTGCAATTCCTTACCACTAGATACCAGATCAACCATGTCAAGCTAAAACTCACTCACAGGTAGGACCAGACAGACTTTTAAATACAAAGGCCCACCTACCAGATCCTTTTTGCCTCCACAAGAGGATTCCCACACAAGCTGATTATAAACAAGACCAGATAGAGTTAATCAGCTTACACTTGTTTGCAACAAATTAGTAAAACTCAGTTTACCTTCCACTTTCAAGTAAATCACAAACACTTACCAACCAGGATTCAAACATGCCAAGCTAAAGGCTCACTCAGAGACAGGACCAGACTGACTTTAAATACAAAGGCCTGCCCACCAGATCCTGTTTGCCTACACAAGAGGCTTTCCACCTAAGCTGACTGTAAACAAGATCAGATAGCAGAAGAATGTCTGTCTGTGTTTTATTGACTATACAAAGGCACTTGACCATGTGGATCATGACATGTTGTGGCTGACATTGAGAAGAATGGGAATCCCAGAGCACTTAATTGTGCTCATGAAGTGCAAATATGAATGAATGGAAACCCAAAATCTCTGTAAATGTTTATGAAAATTAATAAAATATAATTATAGAAAAAAAAATTGTGCTCATGAGAAACCTATACCTGGACCAGGAGGCTGTTGTGCATATGGAGCAAGGGAGCATTGCATGGTTTCGAACTGATAAGGGAGTGCATCAGAACTCTCCAAACCTGTTCAATCTATATGCAGAGCAAATTATCCAAGAATCTGGACCCTCTAAAGAGGAATGTGGAATCAAAATTGGAGGGAGACTCATCAATAACCTGCCTTATGCAGATGATACAACTTTGCTTGCTGAAAGTAAGGAGGACTTGAAGCACTTGTTGCAGAAGATCAAGCAGCCTTCAGTATGGATCACGTTTCAGTATCAAGGAAACAAAGATTCTTTTCACTGGACTGACAGGCAACATCATGATAAATGGAGAGGAGACTGAAACTGTCAACAGTTCCATCTTACTAGGATCCACAATTATTACCCCTGGTAGAAGCAGTCAGGAAATATGGGGACACATTGCACTGGGGAAATCTGCAGTTAGGAACTAGTTAGGGACCTTTCCAAATTATTGAGGAGTAGTGAGGTCAGTTTGAGGACTAAGGTGCGTCTGATTCAGGCCATAGTCTTTCCAATTATATATGCATTTCCTATGCATCTGAGACTGGACAATGAACAAGGATGACAGAAAAATAATTGTCGCCTTTGAGCAGTGGTGTTGGAGAAGAACACTGCATCCAGTAGAGGGCCAAGAGAACGAATAGATATGTCTTGGAGATGATGCAGTCAGAGTGCTAGTTGGAGGCAAGAATGATGAGGCTCTGTCTCACATACTTTGGATATGTTGCTAGAAGGTGCTATTCCTTGGAGAGGGACATGCTGTTTGTTGGGAAGGGTGGAGGGTTGGCGAAGGAGAGGGATACCCTCAACCAAGTGGAATGACATGTTGATTGCTGCAATCGGCTTTTGTGTGTTAGGAAATATGATGATGGCGCAGGACAAAACAGGGGTCAGATCTTTTATTCATAGGGTTGCTATGAGTCATGCTTGATTCAACGGCAACTAACAACAAGAAGCCGCCAGAGCTCCCTAAAATATTTTATCTCATTAACAAATCCAGAACTCTCATACCATTCTACCTGCAATGCTCGCATAACACATAATGGAAATTAAAAATAACAAAAATGAATCAAGGCCACACAGTACAGAAATGTAAAACCTAGGATTTGAACACAACTCCAATTCTGTCTAATTTCATATTATATTCTTTAAGCTTCACTGTTTGCAGAACATCACCCTAATAAGCAGATACAGAAAAAGTTTGCAGCTCTAATATAATGCCTGTGACCTACTGGTCACCTACCGGGAATTCATAATACTTGAAACCAAGGTATGAAATCACAGTAAATATCCCTAACATGATCTCAGTTCTCAATTCCAAGTTAAAAACAGACTAGAATACTTATCAGAATAAAAAGAGTAGCCAAAAGTCCAGTTTGATTTCTTTCTAGAAGCTCTCTGGTATCCCAAGGAGGTAACTATTTGAATGTTCAAATCTTCATCCAGCATCATGTTACTAGAGTAAACAAAGGTCCTTTTCATGGTAACAGAGTATTTATTATGTTAAAAGTGGGTGACAAACTCAACAAGAGCTGGAGGGATGGGTTTACGTAAAGATACTAACAATAAACTAGTAATTGTTATGTCCTACTAAAAACAGAATTTTTTTTTACTTAAATGATGAGTCAAATTATTTTTATTTGTACAGAACTCAAAATAAGAACTTTTATTACACTCCCTATCTCTAATTACATTAGAATTTAAAGTTCTTAAAATATTTTATCCATATACGATTTACTTTATTGCATGATTATTTGTTGAGGCTGTTAGGTGCCTTCAGGTACACACCAATGCACAGAAATCTTATGTACATGAGAAGAAAACTCTGTCCAATCCTGAGTCATCACAATCTCTGCTGCATTCAAGCCTATTGTAGGTTCTCTGAAAGGATTGATAAAATCAACAAATCACAGAGGAAAAGATGAAGACGCAAATGACACTGAAAAGAAATGAAACAAGTCATGTTACAGCATAATAAACTCAAATAATAAAAGGATCATAATAGTCAATGTATTAACAGTCAAGAAATCAAAAGATGTTTTGCATTGGGAAAATCTCCTGTCAAGGACCTCTATAAAGTGCTAAAGAGCAATGATGTTAGTTTAAAGACTAATGTGAACCTGATTCAAGCCTCAGCAATGTTACCTTAAACTCTAACATGTGTCTGAGCCAAGGCACTGTATTTTCAATTGCTTCTTTGGAAACAGGAGTGGCATCCACTTCCTAAATAACATGCCTCTGGAAACTCTATAAACTTTGATACATGTCAATAGTTGTAGAGGAGCTTCAGGTCTTTTGTTCATAGGGTCGCTATGAGTCGTGCTTGACTTGAAAGCAATCAACACCACCAACACATCTGAAAATCGTACAATGAACAAGGAAGAACAAAGAGGAATTGGTATCTTTAAATTGTGG